TCATAAATGAAAGAAATGGAAGAAAGAGAACTATCTGATATAAAATGCAAAACCACAGTTATAAGGTTATTCAAGAATCTTCTCGAAACCTCTGTGGACCTTAGTGAGACCTTAAGGATCTTTTTAAAAATATATATATATTTTATTGATTTTTTACAGAGAGGAAGGGAGAGAGATAGAGAGTTAGAAACATTGATGAGAGAGAAACATTGATCAGCTGTCTCCTGCACACCTCTTACTGGGGATGTGCCTGCAACCAAGGTACATGCCCTTGACTGGAATCGAACCTGGGACCATTGAGTCCACAGGCCAACACTCTATCCACTGAGCCAAACCAGTCAGGGCAGAGACCTTCAAGGACCTTAATGAGAATGCCAAAAAAATGGAAAAGAACCAGTTGGAAATTAAGCATCACTGTCTGAAATAAAGAAGAATATACAGAAATTTAACAGTAGAATAGAGGATCCCAAGAATAAAATCAAAGATTTGAAATATGAGGAAGCAAAAAACACCCAACTGGAAAAGAAAAAAGAAAAAAGAATCCAAAAATATGAAGATAGTTTAAGGAGCCTAGGGGACAACTTCAAATGTACCAACATCTGAATTATGGGGGTGCCAGAAGAAGAGAGAGAGCAAGATATTGAAAACCTATTTGAAGAAATAATGACAGAAAACTTCCCCTACCTGGTGAAAGAAATAGACTTACAAGTCCAGGAAATGCAGAGAACACCAAACAAAAGGAATCCAAAGAGGACCACACCAAGACACATCATAATTAAATTGCCAAACATCAACTACAAAGTAAGAATCTTAAAGGCTGCCAGAGAGAGACAGAAGTTACCTACAAGGGATCTCCCATTAGAATATCAACTGATTTCTCAACAGAAACACACTGCAGGCCAGAAGGAAATGGAATGAAATATACAAAGTGATGCAAAGCAAGGGATAGTATTATATGAAATGCTGAAAGGTATTTAAGAAGAGGAAGAAGAAGAAAAAGGTAAAGATACAAATTATGAACAACAAATATGCATCTATCTACAAGTGAATCTAAGAATTAAGTGAATAAATAATCTGATGAACAGAATAAACTGGTGATTATAATAGAATCAGGACATAGAAAGGGAGCGGACTGACTGGCGTGGGGGGTGCAGGAAGAGATTGGACAAAAATCTTACACCTATGGATGAGGACAGTGGCAGGGGGTAAGGGCATGGGGTGGAGTGGGAACCGGGTGGAGAGGAGCTATGGGGGGAAAAAAGAGGAACACCTGTAATAATCTGAACAATAAAGACTTATTTAAAAAAACCAAAAAACTGTGATAAGCCCTAGATGGTTTGGCTCAGCAGATAGAGTTGGCCTGCAGATTGAAGGGTCCTGGATGTGATTCTGGTCAGCGGCACATGCCCAGGTTACAGGCTTAATTCCCAGTGGGGGGCGTGCAGGAGGCAGCCGGTCGGTTATTCTCTCTCATCATTGATGTTTCTATTCCTCTCTCGCCCTCCCTTCCTCTGTGAAATCAATAAAAATATATTTTAAAAAACTTAATAATTTATGGGAAATAAAATTAATAGAATATTCTAGAGTTATTGCCCAAGATATCTTTCTTATTGACCATGCTTGGATATTCCATGGTTGTCTTATCATTATAAACTGTTTTTTGCTGGGCATGCTGACGCTCCTCTTTAATGCTATTTATAATGGTTAAAAGGCTCTAAAATTTTGTTTTTCGTTGTAACTTCTAGATAAATATGCTTTGGCTATTATTTTGTTACTAGAGGTCCGGTGCATGAAATTCATGCATGGGGACGGGGATGGGGGTCCCTCAGCCCAACCTGCACCCTCTCACAATTCAGGACCCCTTGGGGGATGTCTTACTGCCAGTTTAGGCCTGATTCTTGTGGAACATCCCTCTTGCAATCTGAGACCACTGGCTCCTAACTGCTCTCCTGCCTGCCTGATTGCCCCTAACTGCCTCTCCCTTGGCCTCTGTGGCTTAGTCCGGAAGGACGTCCAGAATGACGCCCTGAAGGTTGTTCAGCTGTTCAGTCTAATTAGCATATTACGCTTTTATAATAGATTTCTTTTTGCACAAGTACACAAATTATCTAAGGCTAATTTAAGAAACAAAATATTTTGGAAAATTTAGATTATCTCAACCTACAACTTAAAAAACAAAATGAGAGACAGTAAGAGTTTACTTGGGATCAAAGAATTATAATTGGGGGAAGCACAGATTCAAGCAGAAACCAACATAATGTCCTTATTATAGGATGAGAGCAAGGGGATTTTATGAGGAAAGAATGGGATAATTTCATGAATACAAAAAAGGTGTCTCTATTGATGCTAATAAGCTGATAAGCTAAATTACTCTTTAGCTATTGTAGGACTTCAGAACACTTCTTCCCAAAATGTACCACTTTAGCATTTACATTACTTTGAGCTGAAGGCAGTTAAGATCCTGCAGGTTTATGAGAAACTTTATTTCTCTCTTTAAAAATTTAAATTAGAGGTCTTGCCCATAATAAACTATCACTAGAAATAACTTAAAAAAAACAACAAAACAAGCCAAAACTGGTTTGGCTCAGTGGATAGAGCGTCAGCCTGCGGACTGAAAGGTCCCAGGTTCGATTCCGGTCCAGGGCATGTACCTGGGTTGCGGGCACATCCCCAATAGGAGATGTGCAGGAGGCAGCTGATTGGTGTTTCTCTCTCATAGATGTTTCTAACTCTGTCTCTCTCTCCCTTCCTCTCTGTAAAATATCAATAAAATATGTTTAAAAAATTATTAAAAAAAACAACAACAAAAAAACAAAAACAAAAACCAATATACCTGGCAGGACAAACTATTAA